GAGCATGGAATACATTTAAAGTCTGTCAAGCAGAAAAACAATACAGTAATTTGAAATGGAATATACTGTCGACGAGGGCCGTTTTTTTTTTTTTTTTTTTTTTTGTGCTGTTCTTCCTATTTAGATTCATGTGCACGCTGTTTTGGTAATGAACCAGGCTCACAGTTAATCAAATGCATCACATTACCTTCCACTCAGCAACTGAAACAGAGCAAATCAGAGAGGCTTGTTCTCATTTCTGTCAGATAAAGAAAAGAAAGAAAGAAAGAAAGAAAGAAAGAAAAATAGAAAGAAACAAACAAACAAAGAAAGAAAGAAAGAAAGAAAGAAACAAAGAAAGAAAGAAAGAAAGAAAGAAAGAAAAGTTTTCTCTGGGGTGCAGTGTGTGCATGTGTGTGGTGGTGGGGGGTCAAGTGCTTGCACTAAAGCGGAACATCAAAAGAATTTTGCGCATCTTTCCCAAATTAGCTGCCTGACCAACTGTCTGAGCTCCTCTAGACCATCCTCTGTAGAAATACATTATCTTGTGGTTATGAAATTATAGGTATTTATGTTGTGCTGCACCACCGAGCCTGACACAGAACAAAAAAAGGGAGGCACAAAGGAGGCTTAGTCCGTTGAATGGAAGCTGAGCAGAGAAAAGCCCTGCTGGTCTTCAGATCAACGTTCCCATGCAGACATACCATATGATACCACTTGATGTCTACGTAGGGCTCACCCACTTTGGAACTAATACAGGAACCCGGCCGCAAACACGAGCCCTGATATTTGACAGCTAGGGCATGTTCTGCGTAATCACAGCTCATGTTGCGGGTCAAGTTTACAGCTTAATAACAACAGAAAATGAAATACATGTAAGTTATATTATTGGAGTTTAAGCCCTCTGCAACAGGTCACTTGAGCTTCATTGCCAGGTCCAAGGCACATAAGAAATATATTCACCGCCAGAGCTGCCACGGCCGTTGACAACATTTGGAAGCCTTTCAAGATTCGTATCACCTGCATGTCGTTAAACCATGAACGCTCGCTAACCGCATGAGCTACGGTAAAGACAGGACCTACATCACGTTGAAACATCTGATAGGTCTGCAGCAATCCTCCTTCTTCTTCTTCCTGTTGTTGTGTTTCTGTTGGGGTTTTTTTATCTTAATTACATAAACAAATGCATGATTAAAAGTTGTACCCAAGCTCGGTGCCAGCTGTTTGAGGCGAGCTGACACAGCTGTATACATGTGTCTTTGCACACTAAATCAAATGTCCCATTGTGCTCATCTGGAATGAATTAGGCCGTGGGAGGGAGGAGGACCTCCAGGCTTTGATATACAGAGAAGGAAATGGGTAATGTCCTGGAACCACATTCAACATCCTAATAAGAGCTGGTGACTGATAAGACAGAGATAAACAGATCATCGCTGCCTGCCTCCGTGCCATCTCCTCTCTCTCTTTAAGCTTCAGCTTATACAGTCAAGAACAGCACCAATATCAATAAATGACTGTATAAACAAGGGGCCGGGATCTGCATCTTTCCTCAAGATTCCAAAGTCTGAAACTACTTTCCAATAAGTGGTATCAGACCTCTGGGCCCAATAGTACATTACATCAGTACATTAATCAGTTTGATCTCCTTTTGGAACACTACAATAGATTATGTTTAGCAGTAAACATTTCCCTGCAGCCAAGGCCAAACACACATTGTGCGACCCCCTCCCGACCCCCACTAAAATATAACAGCCCTGAGGTTTAGGCGACATCTACTTTGAGGATTTTAGTAGCCCTTAAACAAATGGCCGCAGACAGCTGTCTGCAACAATGCTGTTGGTTTGAATTCCGAGTGTGAAAAAAAAGAAAAAAAAGAATTAAGGATCCAGTGACAACCAGAAGCTTGATAGCTGCAAATATCACACTTCTCATTCTCTATAAATTCACTTGATGGCCTATGGAGGAAAGCACTTCAGCACTAACCACTGGAGCAAAGTTGGTCAGTAGCCAACAGAGGAAATCTGCGGTTTTACTCGGCAGCTCCTGTGTGAATGTGTAGTAGGGTGTGTCGAAAATACAGTCACTCTGCGCAGTGTTTCAACTGCCTCGACAAATAAAGGCCAAAGATTGTGCTTACGTTAAAAGTATTTCTTGCACTAACCACTTTTCAGGGGAACAATGTAATTTTACAATTGTAGTCGTGGTTAAATATAGCTTAGAGCGTCACGATGCAGAGAGAAAATTGCAACATGGTCGTGCATGCAGCTCCTAACAGCGAGGGTTAGAAAACGGGATAAGATATGGTTTTTCATTCATTTGAGGGCATAAAATTCCCTTTGAAGAGCAGCCCAGTCTGTTTGCAGAGAACATAAAATTCCAAGAGTGGCTGGTCAGTTGGTATAAACATGACATGCTGTTTGTTGGAAAGAAAGAGGAGGAACGAGAAAACATAACAAGTGAAAACAGATGAATGTCATATTCAATAAACAACCATCCTCTCTTTGGGGACTCAAGTATAATTTTAGATTTTTAAAAAATAAATGAAGCACTACATTTTACTCTCTGGGAAAAATCCCACGGACAATTTTGGATACTGAAGTATTTTTTTCCCCCTCCTGCATCGACATTCCACAGCTCCACCAGGACACAGTAGACCAAAAGTTAATCTTTATTAGGAGAAATGCTGAAATCACCAAGTAGACAACCAGATTGCTTACATCAGCCAAATCTCCAGATTACCCAGTTACATCATCTGAACAGAAAATAGTTAAGTGAAAGCAACTGACTTCAATTAAGAAAATAAATGAAATTAAGTCCCTGAGAATGTGGCCTAGAAAAAAAAGACTGTTCAGAGAACAGGAGTAGAGGACGTTGACTGCATGAATCGTTTGACAGAGATCTGCTGCCCTCTTGTGTACTTCATCATTATATCAGCTACTAGATAAAACTCGTCGGATTCTTTGTCTAACATGTTAAACACATCATAGGACATTCTTGACATAACTCTTAAGTATTGTATTGCAAATAACCCTCAAAGTTAGTATTTTTTATTCTGCACCTTAAAGTACAAAATTTCAAAAACAAAACACACGTCCCTGAATCAGAATTAGTTGAGTACAACTAAAGTGAGCAGAAGTACCAGCAGTTTTACTTGTACCAGGGTTAAACACAAAATCCACATGTAGTGAGGGAGTGAAGCAGAATCTTTGCTGTGAAAACATATCTATCTATCGTTACACCTGTTGTTACACCAGTAGCGACTTAAATAATTCTGGTTGTGCAAAATAATTGGTGTTGCATGTTGAGAAAACAAACAGTTTTAAGTTTTGTATTTTTCTAAGTGCTATGAGTTTGGACAAACTGTTTTGCCTTGACTGGCACGATTTCGGGGGGAAAAAAGTATTTACTGTAAACAGACACAGCACAGATTATAGATTTGGCTTTGACTACACAAAGAAAACAGCTTGTCTCTCTTTCGTAGTCTTCTTTCTGTCTTCTAAATAATGTTCGTATAGAGAGATAGTAAAGATCAACTGCATAGCAGAGATATTTATAGTGATATTATTGGTTGCATTCAGCATTAACTGACATGTGCCACGTGTCTCACTTCGAATGGTTAAATTTAAATTTAAATTAAAGAACTGTGAATAATAATGCAATACGTTTAAATATGTGGACTATATCTGATTTTGTCTACAAGGACGAAACGTGAAAAACACACACAGAATACATTTGAATGCCTATTGCAATTTTTGGGGGGCCTTTTTCATCAGCAGCAGCAGTATCTGGTGTCTGTTAAACACTGTTGCTATAGCAACCATAATTGTGAAGTTACGTGTTGACTGACATTTTTACATCCTCCATTTTGTAAGATGTCAGAATATCAGTGGAAACGCTGCCAGATGTAGTGATATATTTGTGCAACCTGCCCTTGTTTCAAGTGTTTTCTTCATGATTGGCTGTTTGGAGTTTTGTATTGTATTTATTTTACCTTTCTGTTTGTTATTGATTGTAAATGGTTTGGATATAAAAGTACAATTATCTACTATGACCAACCTACCTTTAACAAATGGCTTATATTTGTTTTATGTCAACTAATTTAGCAATTTAATTAGTTTTTTTCTAAATGTTGTATAAATTGTGCATGGTATGTTTCAGATTTATTCAATTGAAAATGTAAATGTGAAAATATGAATTTTCCCCACGTACCACTAGAGAGCATGGTACGCGTACCACAGTTTGAGAACCACTGATCTACAAGGTTTAGTGTAGAGCCTGCAGAGTGGCTGGGTGGGATTTATCTACTACTGTATGGTGGTTGACCATCAGTCTCAGGTTTTATCACCTTTGTGAATCACAATTGCTGTGATTTTATATGATGTTTTTATTATTATTATTATTGTCAGTTGGAATACATGTCTTTGATATGTATTTTCCGCAGTGTAACCTCCAATATGGCAGCTGGACCATGTACACAAGGTGGTGACAGTTTTTGTCTTTATTTTATTTTTTACAAAATCAAACATATATATGATGCGTATACACAAATACAAGTCTTGTCCTGATATCTGACGGAGCTGCTGACTGCACGAGGAATTGTCTTTTTAATGCAAATAAGTCAAGGACAAAGCTTACGGAATACCATTTTTAATTATTTGTACAAGTATTTGATCCTTAGGATGTGGGTGGATAAGAAAGATTTAGGAACCAAATCTGGGTTTCAACAAAGAGGACTAATTTGGTGTCTTCAACAGCCACAATTGACTATTCCGGGAATAATTTTCTGCGTCTGCCACTGTTCTACTACACAACTACATAGATTCATCTATTAACCGGCACACTGTGTATGTTTTGAAGCATATGCATCCATTTTTAAATATTTCATATATTATACATGTATATTAATATACATGCCTATGTAGAATAGCAAATGAGCCCCCTCCTATGGCTAAGACAAGAATTGCAGGTATAATTTAATAAGTTGTGTCTGTGGGATATTTCTTCAATTAAAAAAAGATTCCCAGACATTCGTGTGAGTCTTGACCCAGTCTCCGGCCATGACTGCTTTTACCGTACCGTGAGTGTAGTTAAGCCAGGGGAGGGCTGTTGGAGGAGGGGGAGTGAGAGGCTGAAGTGACCGCTAGCTTCATGACACACGAAGGCACAGGCGTTCCCAGCGAGAGCTGAAATCTTTCAGGTTGAAGAAGAAGGAGAGATAGAGGGAGAGTGAGGGGGGCTCCTGGGAGGGACGGTAGAGTGTATCTGCTAGCTGGAGTTTATCTACGAAATTTTCTTTTTTTTTATTTTTTATTTAGTTGTTATTTTTGTAAAGGGCTTGGGAAGATCATCCATAGGAGGGTTATAGCTGTAGCCACCGCCATCTCCTCTAAATCGGAGCGGCCGCCGTGTCTTCCACACCATGGGGAACGCAGCCACAGCAAAGAAGGGCAACGAGCTAGAGAGCGGTGAGTCCGGCTGCTGTTTGGCCATAGCGGCATTTTGTGTCTTTATTTCAGCGTGTGACACTTAACAGATCCACCGTGATGTAGTTAGCTACTATGTTGTTACACTTATCGCTGTCCTATCTGACTGCTATATTACAGCGGGGGAGGGCCATCCGTCATCTTCTGTACAGTTATCCCACCACCTGCAGGTATTCGACAGTATGTTGACGTTGGGGAACAACCACGTCAAAACACATTTTGGTGCATAATTTCCTCAGCAAATGTATAAATACAGAGAGAGAAAAGAACCAGGGTAGTGAAGCTAGCATAAAGAAGACCCCACGGATGTTGTGGTTCTTTTAGGCTACAAGGGGGTGGGGAAGTTGAACGTTGAGTTGACAGTGTTAGCAAGATATGAACGCATATTTCAGAGTCGTGAATGGAACGTTTATCGACCAAACCGACATGTCGATTATTTAACACCTTTAATTGTAGGTTGTTTGCATGACAGCTGGAGCAGAGGGCGGATCAAGCTGGATGACCAGCTAGCCCGCTAACTTTAGCAGTGAGGGGGATTAGCCCTCAGAAGGCCCCTATCATTTCACAGCCTCCTGATAGTGGTAGTGGTTGCTGTGAAGGCCTGTGCATAAACACACGTAGACGATAAGCCAGAAGTCGCCCTGCTTATTAAAATAAATGAAGCAGGGCTACAATATAAAGACTCCAATAAAACAAAAGTCGACTGAGTTCTGAAATAACTTACTTTAGTTGAAAAAATAGGTTGGCAAAATCAAGTACGGTAATTTCATTATGCTGTTTTGGCCTGTTTTTTTCTACCTATCTGAAAAAAAACCCACAAATGTGTTATATAGGAATAGGACAACGCCTGCCATAGTCCAAAGGACACATGGAAGATTACCATAGAGTGCCCCACTGGTAATAGTGCAGTTTGTCAATAGTGCATACATCAGGAAATAAGTCCTTGTGTCTTTGTTGTGAGTTGTCCAAAAAACAAGTTTAGTTTGCATGTAGAGTATCATATAAAAATATAGGGAAAAAGTATGAGTGAAAATATGATTGGATGACTTGCTATTGCTTTTCACTGTTGATGACATCTGCCAATTCAGAACTATATAATGTCCATCATGATGTGTGCATTGGTGTTAGGCTACCATTGGACAAGCCAGCTTGCAACTGCACACTGTGTCCATCGCGTGTCCCTACATTTGTTGTTACGTTTGTTCCGTTTAAGTTGAAAACAATGCATAGCATTAACAACCATTTAAACCATAACAGTTGACTGAGATGATCTGAAGAGTTGCAAGATCAGGCCACCACAGAAACACAAGTCATGGCTTGATGTTGATAATTATTATATATTATTATTATCTCAAAAGATCACAGGTGTTCAGTTATATTTTATTCCTGCCCTACATTGCTGAAACTTTTGCAAGTTACAAGAAAGCTAAACATTTCCATTCAAGGCCCCACTTTGTAGCCTTTTTCATCCCTGCTGGTTTGTAATTCATTTACATAACTGTTCTGTAATGTTTTTGAAATATGTTGTCTCTTTTTTAAATAAAATAGCATATGTATTTCCTGGTAGTTATATGAAATTGTCAGACTTGGCCACTTAAACAGCCCAAACCGTTCGAAAGGGTTTCAAAGTAAATTGATTGATATGTGGAAAGATTTTGTTGCCATCTGTCATAACAATCACCACACCATTTTGCTATATGTTTAGTTCTAGCCTCTTTTTCACACCAGCGCAGCAGACTGCGAGACAAAAACCTGGCGAAAACGATGTTAAATTTCCAGCAATAAGCTGCAAACTCATGAATAGTTGTTATAAATACCTAATAAGTATGACCTGCAGGCATTGTGGGGCTGTTTCTGCTTAAGCTTCGCTGCTACATTTGATTCCCAGCTTCAATAAACAAAGAGTCTCTCTGTGCAGCACCCAGACCAAATATGGTGAAGATATGACAAATGCCTTCTTTCCATTCATAAAACTAAGAGCTACTACCATCTTCCTAGCATACGCATGCAGTCACACAATCACACGCTCAAATTGTGTCACTTGTGTTTATTTAGACCTCATTTATAGCCTGGCTGTGGTAAATGTTCACAGCGGCTCACTTCTCACACTTCTCATCTTGTCATGGACTGAAGCAGCTTGTCATCAGACCTTCGTCAGAGGATAAGGGGTATTACAAGCTTTGAAATGTTTGACGTAACTCGGCCTAGACCATCGTTGCCTTGCACTCTGTGTGCAGAAGGTTATCACCAAGCATCACATGCAATTAACAATCCTGCAGATTATGTGTTAAAGCTGAAAATTTTGTATTGATTTTTCTTACACCTTCTGCCATACTGTGAATCTTACAAGTTAGCCCCTTGTTCTGAGAGCTTGTCCACTACAGTCACCCACATTCACAGCGTTAAAAACATGCAGAACCATCTGTGTTCATTTATGCACTCAATTTGTTTAAAGTACTGTCACTTTATGAGTCAGGCACAATGTTCCTCTGTAATTTATTGACTTGTTGAGAGAGACCAGGCAGGAAGGGTGAACAGTGCCAATTTAAGACTTTGAGCAGACAACGATGATCAGATTAGCAATAGCTTCCATTGATGCTAGGCGTTTGTCTCTGATGCTCTGATGATCCAGATATTTTGGACTGTGGCTAACTGTAAACCTTTTAAAGCTGACATCTTGCCCTGAGCAGTGGATTTGTCTGTGGGCTACCTACTCTGAGAAGTTGACCCGGTTACCAACAGTGGTGTTTGTACTCCAGACTACCTGTGTTTACCCCACAGAGCTACCGTCAGTTGTCATTTGCTGGGTCAGTTAAAACAGCACCAACAGAGTTACACCGTGGTAGATATAGCAGTTGCCACCATGATACCCACTTTGTCTCTCTGTGTCCAACAGAGGCACACATTATAGTTATTCTTATCTAGAGTTTAATTATTTGTGAGAAAAGTTTACCCACCTATGTTTAGGCCAGTAGTTCCCAACTTTTTTGGCCTTTGACCCCTTTTTGACAAGTTTCTGGTGACCCAAATTATGGTGGTTTCTTTTTGTGTAGAATTTTTTTTTGATCATAAAAGTGAAAGAATATAGTTGTTTTAGTTTGTGGTGTTTTTAACCATAATTTTAAAAAGTTAATAATAGTTTAAAAAAAAGTTTTTTTTATTAGAAAAAGTGTCAAATTAGTTTATTACTGACTTACTGTGCAGTAGACTTTGGTCATTGATGTGGATAACATGACCTAAACCTTTTATTTACTATTCTTTTAAAGGCCGCTTTTCTAATATGTATATATAAAATAGCAGTATGCTTTATGTATACAAAATCATTGTTTTATTCTTATTATCTTGTGTCATGTGTTGAGTCTGACCCATCTTGCATGAATAAATGCCAACCACATGGCTTCTTTTTATTACATTCTTTCTCTGATTTACAAAAGAGTGTGTGTTTTCTCCAATTTCCCAGGGTGATGGTTCGACTCTTTTTTTTTTTCTTCATTCTTGTTGCTTGAAACCACCACATTATGCTTCATGTTTGTTGACGTGGGTTATATTTGTCCTTATGTACATGAACTCTATATCTGTCTTTTCTCTTCCTGTGTCATCCTATCCGTGTGGGTGATTGATCCTGCAAAACGTTGGTGATCAATAGAGACTTTTGGTATGCTCACCCCCCAAAAGATGACCCGAATGGCAAAAATGGCATCTTCCTTGTTGTGAAGAACAGCTTGTTGTGCTTGCTTTTTGATGTGTGCTTTGATAATAAGTCAGTGTTTTTGTCATCCACACACTTTCTCAATCTGGATATCTGCTGCCTGCTGTGTTTTCCATACATTGGTTTGTTTCTGCTTACCATTCCTATGCTGTGTTTGATGGTTTTTCCTGTAATTCATATGAAGTGATGCACAAGACATTCAGCACAGACCTTTACCTGAATTTGTGGCATAGCTTAAAGATTACATTTCCTGAGTGTCTTGGCTTGTATCACTACTCTGCCTGTCTTGGACCTTGCTGTCTTGTGTTTGTGTTTGGTTTTACCTCTAGAACAATGTATGTGATAATTACAATAATATCCAGATGAGAGTTAACACCCCACCAGCCCCCATTTTTCATCTGCATCAATAAACAATTTAATTTTCCATGTACCTCCTTATATTGTGATAGAGTTTGATCTTAGCAGTGACATCTAAAACCAGAGTGATTCTTCCTGCGTATGAGTATGTTGCAGGATGTGGCTCATCCATGCTCCTGGTATCTTACTTTGTACTTTTGTTTCTTCTTTAGTGAAAGAGTTTCTAGCCAAAGCCAAAGAAGATTTCTTACGGAAATGGGAATGTCCACCACAGGTGAGGAATTGTGATAAAACCCAACATGGCATTTAAAGTGGTTTTGTTTTTTTTCTACAAACGGTGGGGTTTTTTTGTTTGTTTTTACAGAGCACAACGTGCCTAGATGACTTTGACAGATTAAAGACACTGGGTACCGGCTCATTTGGAAGAGTGATGCTGGTGAAACACAAAGGAACAGAGCAATACTTTGCCATGAAAATACTGGATAAGCAGAAGGTCAGTTTAAACTAACTTTTTATTGTTGGAATGATTGAATTTGGGGAATGTTCTGCACTTATTTGTCCTAGGATAAAGATCATCACTGGCATTACTTTGCCTCTGATTGGTTGTGATGATCTTTTACCCAGCAAAAAAGCATGCAGACACAATGTGATTATGAGGAATAGCTGCAGCTAAATTTTTGCATTTATTTGACGATGAAGTCGGGACTTCATAAAATGATTTGGACGCTTAATAGGTAGGCCTTGGTTGTGTAGCGTTAGTCCTGTTGCTTCAACCTCCCTTCTGTCCTCCTCATGGAAGATGTTGCTGAATGTTTTCCCTTTACCAGGTGGTGAAACTCAAGCAAATAGAACATACATTAAATGAGAAGAGGATATTACAGGCAGTGAGCTTCCCCTTTCTTGTCAAACTTGAGTACGCATTCAAGGTATGTGGTACATCGACTTCAAGCGTTTGAATTGAAACATCTTAATTATGTGGCAGAAGTGTTTGAGTGCATTTTCTTCATGTAGGACAACTCCAATTTGTACATGGTGATGGAGTATGTTCCTGGCGGAGAGATGTTTTCACACCTAAGACGAATTGGAAGGTTCAGGTGAGTATTTCAGATAACCAGATTATAGATTATTAGCCGTGTCTGTGGGGAAATCTGTCCTGGAGTAGTGCATACCTGAATACCAGGTAAACCTTGTGGCAAGAGTCACAAGGAAAGGTAAACAGGGGAGACAAGCCTTTATTATTGATGTAGAGAACCTGACCTGAGAGCATCTCTGGGTCAAAGGTCAGCCTAAAGCTTTTGATTGTCGGTTTTCATTCGGCCCTTTTTCTCTTACAGTGAACCACATGCAAGATTTTATGCTGCTCAAATAGTGCTGACGTTTGAGTACCTCCATTCACTAGATCTCATATACAGAGATCTGAAACCTGAGAACCTTCTCATCGATCATCACGGCTACATCCAGGTAGACTGAACTGTCATACAATAATCTGATGTGTAACCACATATGACTTTTATTTTGTGTATTTATTTTATGGATACTTGGCCTTCAGGTGACAGACTTCGGATTTGCCAAGAGGGTAAAAGGCAGGACTTGGACATTGTGTGGGACACCGGAGTACCTGGCACCTGAAATCATCCTCAGCAAAGTAAGCAGAAGTTTTAACCCAGAAAGAAAAGAAAAACTCAAACATAGACAGAAGTTGTTTTATTTATTCACCACTGAGTTTATATTGCACCTGATGTATTTTTGTTCATTTCAGGGCTACAACAAAGCTGTGGACTGGTGGGCCCTGGGAGTTCTCATCTATGAAATGGCAGCTGGTTATCCCCCGTTCTTTGCAGACCAACCGATTCAAATATACGAGAAGATAGTGTCCGGAAAGGCGAATAGAAATAACATTTGTTTTTAAAACTAGTATTTTCTTTTTACCATTTCTCCTTTGAGATACAATTTTGAATGTTTAACAAAAAAAAACTCTTGCTTCTGGATGTCCGCTGTCTAGGTCCGGTTCCCTTCCCACTTCAGCTCTGACTTGAAGGATCTGCTGAGAAACCTGCTGCAGGTGGATCTGACCAAACGCTACGGCAACCTGAAGAACGGTGTCAATGACATTAAAGGGCACAAGTGGTTCGCCACAACAGACTGGATCGCAATCTACGAGAGAAAGGCAAGAAAACACTCTGCAGTGACACCAAACTTCACTTAACAGTCTCTGTGGGGAAAAAGAAAAACAAAAAAACAAGTTAATTAAATATCGATTTGCCTGTATTGATTTTCGGTTGGTTAAACATTCCGAGCTAAGATTATGTCATAGTAGTTTTTTTCTCTGAAATATATCTAAGTATGTATTCATCAAACATTGTATTCTGGTTGCACAGCTGCATTTGTGTTTGGAGGTCATTTTGTTTTGTATGGTTAACAGACATTTCACGTCTGGCTGCTCAGTGTTTTTCCATTTGAGAATCCACTTGGAAACAACTGAGGTGCCGGCTGTGGGGCATCAGTATCACATGTCAGTTTGCTGGACCACAATAGTTGTGCAGTCCTTTTGACTTCAGTGCAGACATTTTGCTCAAAGTTGATCTTCATTATTATTTTTATTTTGTAAAACCAAATGAGCATTAAATGATTATTTGTTTTTAAATCAATACCACCTTCTTGTCTAGTGTATTCACTTTCATCACACACAGGTTTACAATAGTTTTTGTTTTGCCCCTTTCTTCCTTTCATTTTTTCCAATGAGGACCAGACAATAGTTAACATATTACTGACAGTCTTGGATGCTTTAGAGTTGACAGTATCACAACAACACAACATAATGACGCTGTAATAAAACACTAATTCAAGTTAAATGTCCTACAGAGAGTAAACTGTAAATGTAAACAAAAGCCACACTTCGTTATAAACCTCAGTGTTGACATCATGTTTACAGTACAGAAAAAAAATGTGGGAAGACATAAAGGGAATTCGTAGCAAGCTATTCAGTGTTAAGTGGCAGACATATTGACGAAATATTGACAAAATATATAGTATAAAATTAGAGTTAGTCTGCCTCAGCAGAGCGTGCATTGTAATAAACGGCCAAAACATCAGATGCTGAAAGGATGTGTCCTGGTGGTGTAACAACAGGGATTGTAACACCCAGAACTAAAATAAATGCTAAAATAATTTGGACGATCATTGAATCGTAAGACAAGATGTTTTGCAATTCAAACAAAAACAATCCCACATTGTTTTTACGTTATCATCTGACAACACTCAAGCTGTTAACCTTCGTTGTATTTTTAATGCTCTTCACATCAGTTCTTGTCATTTTTGTAATATATTTTGACAGAGCTGGGATTCAGAGCTCTGCCCTCTGGGAGATGTCGGCTTCACTTCTCTGTCTCTCCACATTTTCCTGACGTGCAGGGGAGACATTAACGTGAAAGCTGTCAGTTACATAATGTTCTGCTCTCACTGTTGCAGGTGGAAGCCCCTTTCATACCAAAGTGCAGAGGCCCAGGGGACACCAGCAACTTTGACGACTACGAAGAAGAGGAGATCCGTGTTTCCGTAACAGAAAAATGTGCTAAAGAGTTTGCAGAGTTTTAGGACACGGGAACATGGATAAATCAGGGAAATAAAGGGGATCGATCTTTGCACTCTTCTATAGACTTGGGATGGAGCAGAGACCATCATCAGTTTTTTCAGATCCACATTGTCCCTTCATTCCACGGGGGCTGTATGAGGTCGCCATGATCCATGGGTGCCGATAACCTCTCACTGTCACTCACACCTGTGTAAAAAAGCAGACACATCACCGTTTTTGTTTTTCTTTCTTGTTTTTGTACGTACCAACTGTGTGGTTCTTTCTTTCTTCCTTTTTTTTTTACACTGATGTAGTTAACTTTGGATGGTGTTACTCCTATTAAAATGGGATTTTTTTTTTCAGTTCACGAGGAAAAACTGAGAACAAAGGCCAACAATAGTCCACATATTGTAGTTGACTCGGACACAGTCACTCGGGGTCGAAGGGTTTTTCCTTCAAGTTTTCAGCAGAGTAAGTTAGATGGTCTGTTACAGGTCCACGTCATTTTGGCTACTGTCAAGTGCTGGCCAGCTTTCGGAGGTAGTGTTCGTCCTATGTGCATATTTGTCAGTTTTGTAAGACATTCGAACATGTCCAGTGTTTAAAGCATGACCAAATTTAAAATACTGGGTAACACAGAAAGAGAGGTCTGTTCCTTTCTTTGCTTTTTGCCTTAGATCCCTCCAAAAAAAGAAACATCCACCCCCACTTGTCTTGTTGATATTCTGACCTAGGCACAACAAGCCATCAGATGAAGTTGTTACATTAGTAAAAATGCAGCTCTTACGATTTTGTTTCATTCTTTTGGTCTGTTAGTTACGTGTGAAGTTTGTCTTTTGGTATATTTTTGTCACTGTGTCCTCTAACAGTTTGGTCCTATTGTTCCTTGATTTCAGGTCTGCTTTTAAAGACCTGACTTTAAGAATCTGTGGGACAATATGACTTCATTCAAATCAAAAGTGTAAAGTGAAATCCTATTAAGGATTTTTATTGAGTGTAATGTTTTATTTGAAAAGATTGGTGTGAATAGTGTTGTGGCGTTGTGCCTCAACCTTTGTTAGTGATTCTTTAAAAAAAAGTACAGAGTTTATTATGTATTTAATGGAGGATATATTCAAATCTTAAGAAAGGGGGATGAAAAATAGCATTTTGCCATATTTTCCCAGCTACCACTCCAAGCAAATTGTTACTTCATTCTTATCAAAGAATGTGGATTTACAGTGTAGGTATAGGTATACCTACTTGATTTCAGGCTTGATTTCAAGGTACAGTGTTCCTCATCACAAACTGTCTAAAATAAAACTTCTTTCTATCACATGTAACCCTGTTATTGTTAAGCTCATTACATTATACGTATATGCATTGTTTCATATGTTCTTATTTATACACATTAGAGATGCTAATAAATTTTATTTTTAAAAGTGTCATAATTGTCCTCACTATTTTTATTCTTATTTTGGAAAATAATTAGATCAATTTGACATTATTTCTATGCTGATACCTTTTTTCACATTTTAGAAATAACTCATTCTAAAAAAAAAAAGTTAAAATACCACCCAGGTGGAAACCTACGCAGTATTACGTTTTTTGAAACATACACACAAGTTGGAAGTCATATAATCACTTAAATACTTTATATTTCTCATAAATTTTAACAAAGGTTAACGTAAACGTTACCATCATTTTGAAGTGCAGGTCTTCGGCGTTAAACCGACTCTCACCACTAGAGGTCAAAAGTGAACAGTGTATACAAATTATTTTTGTTAATACTTACTTCCTTTATTCGGGTGATATTTAAACCAAACATAAACCGTTTCGGTTTAGTATTATTTAAAATACTAAACCGAAGCGGACTATAGAACCAAATGTCAGCGAGCAGAACTATTGAAACATTTCGCCAATTCTTTTTTTGAGCCGAGGTTCTTGCCGTAGCTTCGGCACGGTGAACACATGGGTCAGTCTTGGTTCGCTCTGCATTCGCGTCCATTCGAATTTTGGTAAAACATGGCGGGTCTCGAGTTGCTTTCTGACCAAGGATACCGCTTAGATGGGCGAAAAGCCACCGAGGTGCGGAAAGTTCAAGCCCGTATGGGTGTGTTTGCTCAGGCGGACGGTTCGGCGTATTTAGAGCAAGGAAACACGAAGGCTCTGGCTGTGGTTTACGGTCCCCACGAAGTAAGTGTCATGGGTAGTGGGGAAAAAAAAAGTACACTACACAAACACAGCTGCCGAAAACTGAAGAACAGTGCAAAATGCAAAGTTGTGCTAAATTCTGCATGTACTGTTTGACTGTGCACGATTTGTGTATATTTTATTAAGTCTTACAAAACAATATGCTCGGAACCGGTATTTAATAAGTAAACAACAAATCTAAGAAATATTTCATTCAGTTAACCTCGAATACAAAAGGGAACGTATTTAATCACCACCACTTAAACCAAACGTGACGTACTAAAACAAACATTGGCTACATTGAAAATAATTCTGATGTTTACGGGTGAAACTGACTCGACTCCGACACATCCCAAATCACCTAACACCAAGAGAAACTTCATGATTTAATGTTCACCATGAGTACAATCTTGTCAAAATGATCATGTATATTTGACAACACAGTGTAATACAGTAATAAGTATTGTAATGATGTCGCGTATACGAGTAGTACAGGCCTCATCTTTTTCTTTTCTTTTTTTTCATATTTAATCCCCAGATGCGAGGTTCACGCAGTCGAACTCTCCACGACCGGGCCGTCATCAACTGTCAGTACAGCATGGCCACATTCAGTACAGCCGAGAGGAAGAGAAGACCTCACGGAGACCGCAAGTCCACTGAGATGAGCCTTCACCTTAAGCAGACTTTTGAAGCTGCTGTGATGACACAGCTCTACCCACGTTCACAAATCGACATCTATGTTAAGGTATGTAAAAACTGCTACATGGTGTTGCAATGTAGTAACGATTGGTTTAAGTTCAAATTAATACAGTATAATGTATAATTTAATTTAATAAACATGCTAAAGAATATAATGTATACAATATTTTCTGTTCTTTGTTTAGCATGCAACCAGCCTAGTTAAAAAAAGCATAGTTTATAACAGGTAACTGAATTAACAACTTGTCTGAAAGGTTCCTCAATTTAGACTGACATCTTTACACCATTAAGACAAGACAACAAATTATGTAATGTCAACACTGCATATTGAAGAATATCCAGTTGCCTCCTATATAAACTTTGACTGAGAATTCTTAGTCTAAAAAAAGACAAAACAAAGATATCAGTATTGCATATTCAGCTACATACATTTTACATTTCTCTTATTGTGTGCCATAAGTATGTCAGTGTAATTAAAAAAAATCCTCTGCTGGACAGAAACATTTCTCAATAATAAAAAAACATGAACTGTATCTTTGTCTACAGATTCTGCAGTCAGATGGAGGAAACTACAGCGTGTGTGTAAATGCCGCAACATTGGCAGTAATTGATGCTGGCATCCCGATGCGGGACTATGTGTGTGCATGCACTGTTGGTTTTGTGGATGAAACTCCCCTGGCTGATCTTTGCTATGCAGAGGAAAGTGGAGGAGTGAGCTCTTTGGCCTTAGCACTGCTTCCCCGGGGTGGACAAATCGCTCTTCTGCAGATGGATGCAAGATTGCATCAGGACCACCTCGAGGCTCTGATTGAAGCTGCCATGATAGCCTGTAAAGGTGTGAGCAAGGTGCTGGACGAGGTGGTACGACAGCATCTTCAAGAGGTGTCAATGCTCACAGCAGAGTAAAAGCAACAGAGGGAAGCAGTCGGGACTGTTAAATGGACTGGGTTTTTTATGGTTATTCATAAGGTTTGTAATACATTCTAAAATTCTGTATATATGTTAAGATTCCAACAATAAATATGTTAACTCTGTCTTCCTATTGCTACTTATTTGACATTTTATTTACCAATTAAATTACAATATCTTTATTTATGTTTTCCAACTAAATAGACCTATAGCTGTATTTCCAACATGGGAAACATTATTAAATTGTTTAAATGTTTTAAGCAACAAAATCCCTTGTAAAGTATGATACAGAATTACTTTGTTTTATATAGAATATGACTAACTTACAGCAGTTGCACAGCATGATGAAAATATGTCCACAACTATTCATATTGAGTACATGCAGATAAGACAAATGCAGCTTTTTTCTGGCTCTCATTTTAAATACATCGTTTAGGAACGAAGCTGTTTACTGATCTCCTATGGGGCGAATACTTTATTCCAACACAGTAAACAAAGAGATGTAAAGACAATACATAATATATACAATTATTTCTAAGTTACGAAACTGTACCGTTGAACTTTAGTCATATTTATACATAAGTTTGTTTTAATTTAAACTTAATGTTTACAAATATACCAGTTTTTCGCAACAGGAAGTCAGTCCGTCGCTCAATTTTTCCGCAGGAAGTAAGAAATCGACGTTTTCTAGCGGGTGCTTCCGTAGGCTCTGTGAATGAGTTTCAGCTCGGCAGGTGGATTTGGTCAAATATATCTGAAAGGGAGGTATGTTGTCATTCATATTTGTTCCTATTTATTAAAGGAAATACGACAAAGTGTTTTGCTGAGATTTGTACTCCTGAGCTACTTCTTGAAGGTATCTTCCATGCTAGCCTAAAGGTAATCGTGTCAATGTGATTGTGCTGCTGGAAGGCGTACGATGGCCGGCGTTTGTAGTTTTTTTATTGTTTTTTTTTATATATATGTCATCTTGAATTATATTCCTACAGTGGGTAGTTGCCTTCAGGATCAATTGCGCCGAGGCTTTAGCTGTATTAACAGAGACAACATGGGACTGCTTTCGGATCCAAACAGAAGACGGGCGTTGATCAACCTGCTCACCCGCCTTAACGCTCCAATCTGGTGAGAATTCAGGCACCATGCAAACTGGAGACACAATAGGATAAAAATAATAGTTGACGCAAAATAAATAATTACATTTTTGAAACATTTTTGTCACGTTTCTTTTGTATTGTACATAATCTGTGTCTTTTTATTCCTTCCTTCTCAGTGTGGTCTGCTACATGGCAGGCTTCGCCTGTTTTATGGGTTTATCTTTTGAGCCATTCACTTTGCGGACATACATGTCAGAAAATGCCATGGGGTCTACAATGGTGGAGGAGCGGTTTCCAGCCGGAGAGAGGGCCTTGGCCACTGGTAGAGAGTTTGCAGCTCATAAGAAGAAAATTGGGTACAAGTACAACATGATTCTTTTTCAGAATAATTTATATATATATATTAAAAAAAACTTGAATAAATGTGTTTTTCTGCAGTTTTAGTCACTTATCCCAATTTCTAGGATACAGCAGTTGTGCTTTAACTCTTTGTTGGAGTGTGACTTCTGGTTTCTCTGCAGTGGAATGCCAGTGGATTGGTTGGTGAAGACCATGCAGGCCAGGGGTCTTGAGGTGTTTACCCAGAGCTTCTCTCGTACTCTACCTTTTCCTGATGAAAATAAAGAGAGATATGTGAGTTGAGTGATAACATCTGCTATATACATATTTATTTTTATTAATACAGTTTTGCTGTATTCTCAAGTTAATTGTACTCTACCTTTAGATGGTAAAAGGTACCAATGTATATGGGATACTTCGGGCCCCTCGCGCTCCACGGACTGAGGCCTTGGTACTGAGTGCTTCTTGCAGCCCAGGTGATGAAAACAACCAGGCTGTGGGACTGCTGCTTGGGTTGGCTCAGTATTTTAGGAGTAAGTACATTTCTTTCAACATTGTAACGTTAATAATAACTTAAATAATAAAATAACTTCATAATAGCAGGTGGATAACAAGGCTTGTTTTTTCTCAAAAGATCAAATTTACTTTGCAAAGGATCTCATCTTCCTTGTGAATGAGCATGATCTGATTGGTATGCAGGCCTGGCTGGAGGGCTACCACCACACCAACACTACAGGTGAGAACATGTTTTCTCCTATTAAAGTCCATCACCAAAAAAACTATCCAAAACATCATTACAACAGTTTGTGTGTTGACATTTGTTATTGTTTAGCTTCATTTAAGTAAGCTCTGGCCCAGATGCTGCATTATTGTGGTATCATTAATCAATTCCAGCCACGTGAACAAAGCATCTTAACAGAAACTGGTACTGTTCACCTGATGTTTGAATGCCATTGAGATTGCTTCTCCAAGATGTTCTTAACTAGTCGTCTGACTGACACAATCCATTTAGTTCAGCATTGTGTAGTGTTTAAAAACACTATATGATCTTTTAGAATTGCACTGTTATCACTAGTGTCATAATTGCATCAATTTAAAAAGGTCTTATTTGTGTCTTCCTTTTTTGAGTGATTTAAAAAAATCCTTTTTCATGATTAGCATAATGGGATTTATATGGTAAAATGTAATCTAAATTATTCACATTCTGATTTTATTCAAACTGAAAATGTATTATATATGCCTCCTGAAATCTCTGCTTTATTAACCAGCTTTAGACTTTTTTCAACTACATGTTTTCTTCTAATGCCAATCAATAATTGTTCATCTAGGTATGGACTGGACTCCACTTCATGGCCGTGGTGGTTCAATTCAGGCAGCTTTGTCGTTGGAGCTTAACAGCCATGTCGTCACCAGTCTAGACCTGGTGCTAGAAGGTCTCAATGGTCAATTACCCAACCTGGACTTGGCAAACCTCTTCTATGCTTTCTGTCAAAAGTTAAGCGTCCTGTGCACCATCGAGGGCAAGGTGATATGTTAATAATACTTTGCACATACTCTACATATTATTTTTTGTTATACAAGAAAGATACTCATGATCGATTGGTGTTAAATTTGGCTTTTCATTACTCTGTTTCTATAGCTGCAGAGGAATGACTGGGACAGTGTATCTGGCTATAGTCAAGCAGTGCAGACAATGATGCTGATGGTGATGAAGCAGGCCAGTGGACGGCCCTGGGGTGATCATGGACTGTTTCTGCGATACCACATAGAGGCTGCCACCATCAAAGGCATCAACAGCTTCCGTCAGGACAAGACTGATGCTACAACTATCGGCAGGTCAGTGCAGGCTTTTTGTACTTACGCCTTATATAGACTGTGTGGGCTATGTTTTCAGTGTTTTAATTTGAAGTGAATAACCTAAAAACTATTTTCTTAGACTCCTTGAAGGAATGTATCGTAAACTGAACAACCTTCTGGAGAGACTGCACCAGTCCTACTTCTTCTATCTCATGCCGTCACTGTCCAACTTTGTCTCCATTGGCTACTACATGCCTGCCTTCGGCCTGCTGGCTGTTATTTTGTTGCTGCGTGTATCCTTTTAAACACATTTGCTGAAAAATTCCTGCTTAAGATGCTGTTGTTTATAATACTTATATTTGTTCATTTCCTTAAAATCACCAAAGGCCTTAGACCTGTGGGTTCAACTTGTGACCCCACCACCTAGAAATGAGGAAAGAGTCAATGACATTGCGCAAGTAAGCGACATATCCCCAGAAATGTTGGTGTGTATTGAAATATTCACAAGCATTGAGCTGATGAATCCAAAACTCTGCATTCTCCAAGCAGTCCTGTCCAGGAGTGTTATCTATTCTGATCCCACTGGTGATTAGTCACCTGACTGGCGTAGCTTTGTACATGCTACCTGTTCGCTTCCAGGAGATGGCTGTAGAACACTTCCCTGTGTCTGAAACTGAGGCTGTGGTGTTGACTGCTATTGCTGTCTACACAGCAGGACTGGCTCTGCCTCATAACACACACAGGTACAGTAGTCACAAACTCCATTGAATCCACCGTTTTAATGCACTCTCGGTGGTGTGGCTACATGATAAGAGAGACAATGTTAACACTGCGTGTGATAATTGTAGTACGATTAAGTACTGTTATAAGTATTACACATTAATAATAATTAATTGAAATAAATACTTAACATTCAAAGTCATTTAATGTGCCATGCGACTTCTGATACATTTGCAAATTTTAAGCTACTTTTAAAAGTTGTCTCGGTCATTGTACATACTTGAGATAATCTTTTAGAAGCTGATTTAAATTAACACTTTTTAATTAATTAAGCTAAAATCCTAATGAAGAGTAAATACTTTATTTTCTTGCAGACTCCTGTCAGGTGAGGGCACCGAGCAGGGCTGGAGAGTTCTGAAGCTGGTTGCAGTCTTGTATCTGGCTGTTCTGTTGGGCTGCACTGCTCTCATCAACTTCTCTCTGGGCTTCATCCTGGCTCTCACCCTTGTCCCTGTGGCTGCCTTTGTCACACCCCATGTCCCGAAGTAGGACAAAGAAACAAGGCATTGTTAAACACAGCGTCACACTAACCCTAACTAAACATATTTTATCTCTCCCTCTTTTCAAGGGTTCTGTCTGCCTTCGCTCTGGTCTTCCTCAGCCCGGCCTGTACCCTCCTCTTTTCTGTTTTCTTCTACCAAGAGCTTCAGGAAATGCCAGTCTCTTTCCAAGATGGATGGATACTCTACCTGTCAGTCATCTCTCAGGGCATACTAGACCATTACCTTTATGGTTCTTTAGTTTACCCTCTAATAGCCTTGTTGGTTTACCCTTGCTGGTTGCTGTTCTGGAACATTCTGTTCTGGAAGTAAGTAGCGAAGAACAACTAAGAAAAATGAAAACCCCACTGTGAGGGTTCTCAGGATTTTCATCAGTGGAATAGATGTGAAGACCTGTCAACAAAGATGGAAAAGAAGGATGTCTGTGGGTGACAGGTGTGAGTTCACATTGTTTTAAGATTGAATCAGTGTCATCTTAATCTATTGTGTTCTTTAAACAATGCACTGGACATTTATGACAAAAAAAAACATTATCTTTTAAAAGACAGATATGAGGAGGGACTACGGTTTTGTTTATTTGTGTTGTGTGAGCCAAACTGTAACAACTAAAAACCACAGTTTACACTAAAAGCAATGTAATGAAAAATTCTCCATGTGCATCGGTTAAACAATCTGTTTGTACTTGTTTTTGATATGAGTCCTTGTAACATGTTTTTTTTTATTTATTAAAAATAAAAATAAATGCCTTGCATCAGTGCTGCTCACAAACCCGCAACCTTTAAAATTGTCCACTGCGCCTGATACTCCACCACATCCTCAAAAATGTAGGAGACTTTTGGATTTTTCTTCTGTACTGTTGGTGTTTTATTTGTTAATGTTTGATTGGCTGAAGCTAATTTAAGTTTGTAGAACGTGTTCACTTATTCAATTTTTTAGGGGCGTGGCCAAGTAAGCCACGTGCCCGTAAGGGGGTGTGACAAACTAAGCCGTCATGCATGAAAGGATTAATGTAAATATAAATGTGATGCATATTCTAATAATAATAATAAAAACTCAATGTTGTCTGGGGGTGCTGTGAGTGTTGCTTCAAATCCTGCCATCAGTCTGTCACTCTCCCTGAACCAAACAGCCACACGTTTCATTCTCTGCGGAACTCCTACATCTCATCCGTAACTGAGTAAACAAAAATGTTCAAAAAATCATGTTTTGCATTAATCTTTTAATATTAATGAGTAAATAAGTGTTTTATTGTTTTTCATTTGTTCTAGGTTTTTTTTCCTCTTTGGGTAGCTCCGCCCCGCAGGAGTCGGGCCAATCACGTTGGTTTCCGGATTTACGTCACATAGAAACACCGGAACTGGAAAAAAAAACGTCAGACGCGGAAAAGGTTTGCCACGTGGTTAAAAAACCACAGGTGACCGGAGATATTCCTCATTAGCAGCTCGACCTGGTTCGGGTGGAGGTTGACACAGAAAGGTGAGAGACTTTTGGATTTTTCTTCGTTATTGTTGGCGTTCTGATTCAGTGGATTCTTTTTGTTTTGCGAAGTAGCTTAGCCTTCACTTAGGCCGGACGCCAATTTTAATTTATTGATGTTTGTCTTTCGTGAAACTTATTTTAAAATACAGACCCACGTGTTTGGAGAATGTGTTCACTCTTTGAGTCGTGTTTTTCGATCTTTGTGTTTAAAGTACAGCATCATTGTCTTCGACAGGAAGTTTCTAAAATGATTAATTTATATTTAAGGTTTGAGAGACCTGAAGTGCTCAGTAGGCTTGAGGTTTTCTTGGATTTAATTTTTCAGTATAAAATTCCACATTCAAGGATTCAGGGAACTTGATTTTTTTTTCTCTCTCTCTCTCTCTTTCTCTCTCTCTCTCTCTCCAATGGACCTGCGGCTGAAACATGACACTACATTCTGGTGAGGTCGTGCCTAAAGAGGAGCTAATCCAGGCCTGCATTCTTCCTACTGAGTGTCTTAAGGTTTGTACTAAATGATAATCCTTGTTATGGTCAGTTGTATAGAGAAATAAAATCCTGGTTTAAGAGACCTGAAGTGCTCAGTGGGCTTGAGGTTCTCTTGGATTAAAGTTTTCTGTACAAAATTCCACATGGAAGAATTTGGGAAATTAATTAATTTTTTTTCCTCTTTCTTTCTCTTTTCTCAATCCAATGGACCTGCGGCTGAAACATGATGCTACATTCTGGTGAGGTCGAGGCTAAAGAGCAGTTAATCCAGGCCTGCCTCCTTCATACTGGATGTCTTAAGGTTTGTACAAAATAATCCTTGTGGTCCGTTTGTTGCTGTATAGAGGCAAAGATAAATCCTGGATTAAGAGACCTGAAGTGCTCAGTGGCCTTGAGGTTCTCTTGGATTTAATTTTTCTGTACAAAATTCCACATGCAATAATTTGAGGAATTAATTTTTTTTTTTCTCTTTCTTTCTCTTTCCTCAATCCAATGGACCTGCGGCTAAAACATGATGCTACATTCTGGGGAGGTCATGGTTAAAGAGTAGCTAATCCAGGCCTGTGTCCTTCCTACTGAATGTCTTAAGGTTTGTGACAGTAGCAACTAAGCTATGCTAAGCCATGCTAGTCAATGCTAAGCTATGCATAGCATAGCGTAGCACGGCCTAGCACGGCTCAGCACAGCCCAGCACAGCCCAACCCAGCACAGCACACCACAACACAGCACAGCATAGCATACCTTAGCATAGCATAGCTGGTTTTACATACAGTCTTCTATATAAGCCAAGCCAAACATAGCACAGCATAGCAACACATAGCATAGCAACACATAGCATAGCATCACAACCCCTAGCAACACAACCCCTAGCAACACATAGCATCACAACCCCTACCAACACATAGCATCTCAACCCCTAGCAACACATAGCATCTCAACCCCTAGCAACACATAGCATCTCAACCCCTAGCAACACATAGCATCACAACACATAGCATCACAACCCCTAGCAACACATAGCATAACAACAACTACAAAATGACTACTCATATCATAAAAACACCAGACAGAAACAAACTTACCTTTTTACTTGTGTTCCTCATACAGAGTTTCTTCAGCCACAATCTGACCACCATGTACTGTCTTCTCCCAGTCTCAGATCTACCTAATCAAAAAACACACACAAAACCACACCATTAACTACATCATCAATACAAACCATAAATACAGAACATATACCACATAGGAACAAACTTACCTACTTACTTGTGTTCATCATACAAATTTCCTTCTGCCACAATCTCACCAACAGCAAGACAACACTAAGGAAAGACTGAAAAAAAATGCAAGTACAAACACACAAACAAAGCAACACAGAACTAACTTAAGAATGACAAAATAAATCAAGTAACAAGGAAAAAACAAAGCAACACAGAACTAAGGAAAAACAAACAAGAAAAGCAAAAGACAGGGAAAAAATAAAGCAAGACAGAAGGAAAAACAAAAGCAAGACAGAAGTAAGTAAAGAAGGACAAAATAAAGCAAGTAAGAAGGAAAAAAGAAAGAAACACAGAACTAAGGAAATAAGGAAAAAGAAAGAAACACAGAACTAAGGAAAGAAGGAAAAAGAAAAGCAACACAGAACTAAGGAAAAAACAAAGCAAGTAAGAAGCAAAAAACTAAGCAAGACAGAAGTAAGGAAATAAGTAAAAAGAAAAGCAAGACAGAAGGAAAAAACAAAGCAAGACAAAAATACAAAGGAAAGCAAGACAGAAGTAAGGAAAGAAGGAAAAAGGAAAGCAACACAGAAGGAAAAAGGAAAGCAACACAGAACTAAGTAAACAACGAAAAAAAAAAGCAAGACAGAAGGAAAAAATAAAGAAACACAGAACTAAGGAAAGAAGGAAAACGGAAAGCAAGACAGAAGCATGTAGACAGTACAACACAATACATCACTAGACTACACAGTACAATACATTCCAATACAGTACATCACTACACTAGACAGTACAATACAATACATCACTAGACTACACAGTACAAGTCTTTACTAGGAAATGGACTTGGCAGAGGGAGACAAGCCAGATCTAAAAGTCAAAATTCTTTCATGACATTTCAAACTATTCAACACCAAAAACTGTCAGTTGGACAGAATTGGTGAATTTAACTTGTCATGTAAAGATTAATGTTTAAACTATGAGCTGAATGTCATTTAAATCTAAGAAATGACAACTACATAACATTCTACAATGATTAAAAACAAGGCAAATATTTATATAATTAATGTAGATTTATTTAAATGGATATCTACCCCAACACCCTCAAACGACAATATGTTCAACATGATGAAAATTAACATCTAATCTGTTTACCAGAAACAAGCAGCTAAAGATAAAAAAAAAAAAAAAAAAAACACAACCCTGACAGGGACCAGGATGGAGTCTCCTGTCAGCTCTGGTGAGTCTGGATCCTTGGGGGCCAGGACCTAAACATAAATGAGTCAAGTAAGTTTTCTACACAACAAAGTGACTATAACACATTAAAATTTAGCACAAACCTTAAGACATTCAGTAGGAAGGACACAGGCCTGGATTAGCTCCTCTTTAGCCATGACCTCCCCAGAATGTAGCATCATGTTTTAGCCGCAGGTCCATTAGATTGAGGGGAGAGAGAGGGAGAGGGAGAGAGAGAGAAAGAGAGAGAGAGAGAGAGAAAAAAAATCAAGTTCCCTGAATTCTTTAATGTGGAATTTCATAATGAAAAATTAAATACAAGAGAACCTCAAGCCTACTAAGCACTTCAGGTCTCTTAATCCAGGATTTATCTTTGCCTCTATACAGCAACAAACGGACCACAAGGATTATTTTGTACAAACCTTAAGACATCCAGTATGAAGGAGGCAGGCCTGGATTAACTGCTCTTTAGCCTCGACCTCACCAGAATGTAGCATCATGTTTCAGCCGCAGGTCCATTGGATTGAGAAAAGAGAAAGAAAGAGGAAAAAAAATTAATTAATTTCCCAAATTCTTCCATGTGGAATTTTGTACAGAAAACTTTAATCCAAGAGAACCTCAAGCCCACTGAGCACTTCAGGTCTCTTAAACCAGGATTTCGTTTCTCTATACAACTGACCATAACAAGGATTATCATTTAGTACAAACCTTAAGACACTCAGTAGGAAGAGTGCAGGCCTGGATTAGCTCCTCTTTAGGCACGACCTCACCAGAATGTAGTGTGATGTTTCAGCCGCAGGTCCAATGGATTAAGAGAGAGGGGGGAAAAAATCAAGTTCCCTGAATTCTTGAATGTGGAATATTATACTGAAAACTTAAATCCAAGAGAACCTCAAGCCTACTGAGCACTTCAGGTCTCTTAATCCAGGATTTATCTTTGCCTCACTACAGCTACAAACTGACCATAAGGAATATTATTTAGTACAAACCTTAAGACATCCAGTAGGAAGGAGGCAGGCCTGGATTAGCTACCCTTTAGCTTCGACCTCACCAGAATGTAGCATCATGTTTCAGCCGCAGGTCCATTGGATTGAGAAAAGAAAAAGAAAGAGAAAAAAAACATTTTTAAATTCCACAAATTCCTGCATGTGGAATTTTGTACAGAAACATTAAATCCAACAGAACCTCAAGCCCACTGAGCACTTCAGGTCTCTTAATCCAGGATTTATCTTTGCCTCTATACAGCAACAAACAGACCATAACAACGATTATTTAGTACAAACCTTAAGACATCCAGTAGGAAGGCAGAAGGTCTACATCAACTTAGCTGAGGTCAAGACTTGATGAGGATGCAGCATTGTCCAGTTCCATTGTCTAATGTCTATTGAATTAAAAAAAATAATTGAAAAGTGTAATCAACAATGAACCATAAATATACCAGAGAAGATAATGCTTATCTTTTTAATGGTGCTCTCTGACACGGTCCAGTCAACATCTGCCAGAGGATAAGACAGAAACAAAAACTAAATTTAGCAGCCATTAGCATCAGTACCAAAGGTTTACATTAGTCCCTTTAAGGTATGCTATTCAACTGTCAGAATTTGTTAAGATATTTTTAAATTACTTGTAAATGTGAAGGTAACCAAGAGGTAAGTCTTGGTTGTCTCTTTGCCAAGTACATTTTCTATTAAAGACCCTAAGCGCGCAATCTAATCTGAGTTCCTACCAGATTACAGCAGTATATCTACAATTCTGTAAACTTGGCCTTGCATACAAAGCGTAAAACAATTCTGCAGAGGACATAAATACAGTTTCCCCTGAATAGGAGATGAACTTGGCAAAGACACAACATCAGACTTAGTAAGGACAGTAAATACAGGTTAAGACCAAATGTTACTGTTTTTGATAAAGATCTGATCAAGAAGGCAAGTAGTCAAACTCAAGAAACTTTTTGTTTCAAACTTTTTGAAATCCTGACTTTTTCAGCATTTTACGTCACACGCCGGTAACTTTTCATTGGACTGTTTTGCCTCATCTTTGTGACGTGCCAACACCAAAAAAACAAACAAACAAACAAAAACAAAAAAAAACCACCAAACAGCTTAATTGGCCTGTCTCTGTTGGTCGGGGCTACCGCAGCAGCGTTTCAATATTTTTTTTTTTTTTTTTCAAACTGAAAGCTTGACTAAATGAAATGCTTTAAAACATAGCGATGTACAATATTTCAGAAATATTTATCCATACATGATGGAGTAGTTCCTGTACATATAACCAGACCGCCAGTTATGACTGGCCCCTCGAGAGCAACCGTACTGCTGATGTGGCCCCTGGTGAACGTTAGGGTGACACCCCTGATCTATGGGAACTATGACAATATCAGAGTAAAACTTGCCAGTCTGGTGTAACTCACCTGATAACAGACAAAACGGTCTCATTCAAAATGATGAAGCGGGGGGGAAAAAAAAGCACTTTTGTTTTGAGGCAAATGGCTGGTGTAATAAAAACAAACAAACAAAAAAACAAGTATTTTTCACCTGAGTGCCTTGTTTCAATAACTCTAAATCATCCTGCACAACAGTGAGGTCAGGCTTGTCCGTTTTTTTCTTTAGTTTCAGTCAGAATTAGTTTGACTGCACGTCTTAGTTTATAGTACTGTATATTTATGGTAGAAACACTGACTCACAGGATTTACACTTTAAACTACAGTTGTACAGCATAAAAGGGAGCGGCTCTCAATCCAGGTGCACCAGTGTAGTTAATAAAAAAGGGAGCCAGGAAGTGATGACATGAGGTGTTGGAGTTGTCTGTGCAGACAGTAAATATTTTTCAAAAATGGTTGTTTTAACACTAGTGTCCTGGTAGTTTGGGCAGTGATCACTGCACACTATTGTCAGGGCAGCTAAAGGAAAATTTCAGCAACTCATACTGAATTAAGCTGCACAAGACATAGCTTGGTCAAGGCGTTTTAAAACGGTGGTGGGATACGTCCAGAGCAATCAGCTCAATTCAGTGTAAGAGTTGCTGGAATTTTCCTTTAGCTGCCCTGACAATAGCATGCAGTGATCGTGTGTACCTAATCAAAATCATTGACAAACTAATGAGACTGCACCTGGTGGATTGTAGATGCCATGCTGAACGCTGGTGATAAGATAACGAGGCGAGGTGGAAGAAAGTGGCAATACTGCCACTTCCTTCCATTTTTGATAATGACTTTATCATTGGAAAGGTTGATTGGAAAACTACGTAATATAAATATGATGATATATAATATATATTATACAAACATACAAAAGCACAAATATACAAAAGCACAAAAAAATTTGAAAAATTTCAACTCTAAATTTGGATGTCTCACTTGTCATGTCGGACATGATTAGCTGTCAATTTAATTTAGAGATGAAAAAAAAAGGAAAAGTGGCACCAATTAGAAGAGGCATAACTGATTGTAACCTTTATTGTTGTGCCTAACAATTTTACGGTGAAACAACACATTTTCAGTACGAACTGCGCTTACAGTGACAAAAGTCTACCCAGGCATGGTAAGAAGGAACAGAACTTTACAAAACCTGGTTCTGGACTTAAATCTAGTCCTCATGAAAGTTAGTACCTTCAACTTTGGTGCAAGACATGACCTGAGGGTCCATGCCGCAGTCCTCCTGTTATCAGTGGCTAATGTGCCCTCTAATAAGCAATTACATTTTGGCCAATGCAAACAATCCACTGTGTCACATTTAACTGTGTCATCATGAAACTCAAAGAGAACTGTTGTAAGTAGAGACTAAAAAGCGATTTATTGCTTACCTGTCAAGCTTTCCCATATAAATGCTGACACAAAAAATAAAAAAATAACTGTTACCGCTTCTGACACAAAAACTACAAAGAGAATAATCACCCTCTTTCCAAACCATTTTTTTTCTTCACACTAGAACAAAATGAAGACCTACATCACTAATATATATTTATGTGTTTTATCCCCTATTTATAACAGACAACGGTGCAGTTTGGATTTTACAGAATTCCCAGTGTCTAGATACAGTACAGCAAGAGGGTGCTATGAAAAAGATGCCAATTAAACTGTAGGCATGACAACAATACATATATATAATCTGTATACTGTAATAGAATATCAACAACATTTAAATCGTTTGCTGACACGAAAATGATGCAATCAAAGAATGACGGGGGTTATTTCCCAGGCTGTGAGAAGGGCGTGTAAAAAAAGTGACATCCAACGGCGCTGTGCCTCTCCGCATTACACTGTGGAATGTTTGTTCAAATAAAGAGCACACTTTGGGTTCAATTTACTGTGCTGACTTGCAGAAATGTGACGTTAGTACAAACCACCACCATCAGTGAAAAACTGCAAGAAAATTGTACTTTGATTTCATAGGATTTCAACCCAGTGTACAAACCGTAGCCAAAATTATAATAATTAAAAAAAAAAAAAAAAAAAAAAGGCACCTTCTTTTCCCCCCGGGGATTAGGTGCTTTGCTGGACAATTTTCCCATCCAGCGTAAGAAAGGCTTCAAAATCTTCAAAATCTCTGATTTTGCATTGTTGTTGATTAAAAACAGACAAAAGGTTTGTTTGTATTTTCGCCAAGGCCATTGAATTAATAATCTAGTTAGAAATTCACAGTTAAAAAACTGATCGCTGGGGACATCGGCTTCAGTGACCAATCATAAGAAGCTAAGTCAGATACAACTAAGATATTTACAATACATTCATGCATTTTTTTTAATTACTGAATATTACTTTCTATTTCCATACTGCTCTACAAAAGTCTTCAAGAAAATATGAAGCATTTCTGACCTTGTGTCGTTCTAATCTAACCCACTGATTGAAGATGACATTTTTTATTACACCTAAAACAGCGGAGAGGACAAGGAGAGACCTTCATGCACTTTATCATCAAGTAGAATTTTACTCATATGCAAAGTGAGACAAACGTGTCTACTGTATGTCAGCTCCCCGTAGAAAAGACTAACCGTAAAAGGTACCCTGTAGAAAAGATCTGGTATTTCTGTATTAATAGGAAGGTATAAAACATGTCGACCTTAAAGGATTTCAAACAGGTGACACAAGTCCCTCAGAGTGTCCATGACTATTCAAGAACGTCTGACTAAACAAACTCCTAACGGGAGGATGTGGCCTTGTTACACTGAACATCATCAAAATGCCAGAGACTGAGTGAGTTTAAGCTTCTAAAAAGGTGCGGTAAAAGTCTTTGTTTGGCATTAAGATGGTTTAACAATTCAATGAGTGAATTTTATTTTTTTTCATCAGCATTCTGCAGAAATTCTCGCACGCTGTGGTAGAATCAGAATCTCAAAATGAGCTTCTGAAACGAGGAGCCGCCGGGTCACGACAATCTAAATATTATTATCAAAAATTATCTCTGACATGTGGTGCCGTTAGAATTTTAACATCAGGATGTAATGGATATAATGCTACATTTGCACTCGAGAGGGTGAAAAGCAGCGTTTCAGCAGGGGCTGCCCCCCGTGAACAGTGAAAATGATACCCAAAAAAAAAAAAAAATCAAAGTCATTTCTCTCTGTAATAAAGCAAATATGATTTCAGCGACTCGGGCAGCGGCAGAGCCATTATTTGGTCTCTCAACATGTTTACTTGCTTGAGGATCTCAATGTCACCAAATTCTCTCTCCTCCTCCTCCTCTGCTTCCTTGTGCTCTTCCTCAGTGTGCTCCTCCTCCTCACTCTCCACCATTTGGGGGATCAGCTGGTTGCCTACAAAAACGTAGGTGTTGATGCGACGCCGCCGGCAGCGTCTGCGCTTACGCTTCTGGGGTACCCTGGGCGCCAAGCCCTTCTCCTGGCTCTCTTCGTCGGCCAGGTTTCTGAGAGTGCGGCGGATGTAGATCCGGGACAGGTCCTGGAGGGTGCGCACCGACAACGGGGCTGAGGAAAAACACAGAAGACACCGTCTCCCTCAGGGCAATGCACCACTGAAACAACGATTATCTACAATGTATGAATGCACCGCTGCTTCAACTAGGTCAGCATAAACAAGGGAGGCTGTCAAAAAAAGTGCATCTCGGGTAAAAGAACCTAGCTGCCTCAGAAAATGTCTGGTCATATCACTTTGAACGGACCTCAAAAGGTTCCTGCTTCCTGGAGGATAAGCAACACTAAAAGTCAAAGAACTTGAAGCATGTGTGTCGTCTGTTCTGTTGATGCTGTGACAACTTACGCAGCTGAACTGCATCAGGCTTCTCTCCGTCGGCTCTGCTCTGCTGAATCAAAGGGGCAAAGGACACTGCCAAGATGTTCTTGCTGTCCCATGAGCACTGACCAGTCCTGGTTATCTGGGTCAGCTGCATGAAGAGACAAACTTTAAATCGACACTGAGCTCTTATTAAATATAAATTATGACTTTATAGCATTACAGGGAGCAGGGAACAAGGGCAAACCACCTGAACCAGCACAGTTTGTCTTCGATGTGAAGTGAATTTCATATATACATATTTTATGGGTTTTTTTCCAGCATTTGAGAAGATTTGGAACCCTTTACAGAATGGCAAAAAAACACATGGAATCCCATGAGAAGAACTTTTTGCGTACTGTGAAAAGTTACCAACTGTATGTGACGTATAGTCATTCTTTTGTAAATACGTAATCCTCAGTAGTCAATTTAACAAAGTCTGTTGTTTTTCTTATCTTCACCAACACATAGTAATTACCTCTCTACAAATGACATATTATTAATAATTAATTTTTACAATCCAATAGGTGTTATATAGCTCCCAGGTACTCATTAATGGCGACAGATCAGCATGTTTTTAGGGTATAGTGAGGGGTTCTCAGTAATGGTTTAGAAATGCTGCATGTTGATGCTGCGCGAGTTAGCATGGCTAGAATTTATGCTATTAACATCCATGGTGTTCTTTTGGTTGGGAACTCATGTGAAAGTAAATGATGATGAAGTAGTTCAGTGTGGGATAAAAAAACCAAAACATTTTTCACTCCCCTTCCATCTCACTGACGTAATGGGGTGATTACTCAGTTCACACTGACAGTTCATGTCGACCATCTGGCTGGCTTTGAAGCTAATGTTGCAATTTGAAAAGCTTTTTTTTTAATCTTTTTTTTTTCTGAAAAGTTTAAAAAAAAATGACACCAGCATTAAACCCAAAATAAAAACAACTTAAATTTGCTGTGAGCTGCGTGATAATCACCATTAGTCATGTAACATTAATGAAAATGAAATGACCCAATGTCATGAAGACTACACAGTTATGTCCAATCTAAAGGGTTGCACCTGTGCACCCTACAGCCTGAACAACTTCAAGGGTCTGGATCACCGTGGCAACAGACCACAGGAAGACAAACACTTTAAAACAGGAGGGTCTACCCTCCTGTAATCACATTACCTGTGAAAAACACAGTAATCACATCACCAGCTGCTCACGCCTCCTCCTGATTTTGAATAAGCGCTGTGTTTATCTTTTCTACACACACTGTAAATTGGTGGGTGCAGACACATTGGGACTGACCCATGTGGTCTGGAGTTGACTTGGATTGGACTGGACTGTTGTTGTCACCTGGCATGTCAGCCATGAGATTCTCTATAAGTCTAATAATACATAAGAATAGAAATAAGATAAAAATACTTGAAATTAATATTTCAAAATTAAAAACAAATATATTGTGTTGTGAATGTTGGTTTGAACGGTTGTTCATCTCCATAACCTCCAAACCCCCACTTCACCCAGTAACAGCCTAAAGGCGTGTAATGGATAAAGCTCTGCTTTCAATTGATGGAAAAATCAGTGAAATATTATTAAAGCAAGGAGTCATCCGCACAGAAATGAATTTTAATCACCAACTAATTAATGGTCAGTGACATTCAGTTACCATATGCGTAATTTGATGGATTTGTCTCCTTGTACCTGGTGCATCTGTGTGAAGGCTGTCTATTACTAGTCTACAGACACTGGGCTGTGGACTCATTCCGGATGTTGATAATGTAAGTGAGCATTTATGTTATTAATGGCTTGAGAGGCAGTGGAGTGGCACGGGTTCAGGAGAAACTGTGAGCAGCTTTAAATAAGGTTCATGCTTTCAGAGCCCTCTTTAATGTACACTCAGAGGAATGAACGCTTCATTGTATCACATTACAGTGTGAGGTCTTAATGTGATGAGGGTTATGTTTCATTTACAGTATAAATTATTAAATTATTCATGTAGTAACAGACTAGAAAAATCTGACTTTGTGTGGATGAAAAACCACAACAAAGAGGACAATCTTTTGTACATAAAAACATAAATAAAAGCCAAAATCAGGATTTCATTAATCCATCTTATTCTCACTAAGTTCCCTGAGTCCATTTTTCTCCGTCTACATCCCAAAAACCTCTGTCCTCTCAATTTGCCCGTAGCCAGCCCACCCACAGCCATCCTTTTAAATAAAACATCTAGTAGAGTGAGCCTCACACCACAGCTTAAATCCAGGTGCAGTTGTATCTCAATAATACATGGGTAAGAGTTGCGTACGCAGCCTTGTAGGTCCAAGTATTTTACCTGGTTTTTGCCTCGTGAGCAGGAACTTTTCTTCTTAAGCAGCCTTGATCTCTTACCTGGTCTTCTATGGGCATCACCAGGATTCCTCCGATTTTAAGCAGCACTTTCATGTAGTTTTCATGGTCCTTCTGAACTCCGGCGCCACAGTATATGCGATCATATTGGTGACTGTCTGTGGAGATTTCAAGACAGTTTCCGACCACAAAGACTGGCTCACAAAACTCGAACCTGTGAGAAAAACGGTGAATAAATAAAGGTAATGAACATGGGGGGAAAAAAATGTTTCTTTCTAATTCACCAGACCAGATGTGATTTAAACACTTGAACTACTTTCTAATAAGAAAGTGCTACAGCAGTGCTAAATTATGTGTGCTAATTTATTGCTGAATTATGTCTGGATCCATAACAGTATTTTCTTTAACATATGTTTGGTCAAAAGGGTTTATTACTATAATAATAATAATAATAATAATAAACAGAAGGTGTTAATACTAAAAAAGATTCAATTATATGTACTCCCAATTGGTTTTCTTCAGCTAATTAGTTCATCAATTAGTTTGCTCATCAGGACTTCATGCCCCCAAGTCAGTTTAGGTTTGTCCTTTTATATAGCCTTACAGAAAGGACTGATGACAAATATTAAAATAATAATACAATACAAATTTAAAAATCTCATGGCATGATTGCATAAAAAAAGCTGAGTCCCCAGTGCTCCCATGTAAATTTAGTCACAAAGTTTGAGTTGTACTTTTCACCCACAATACTGTATGTTAATCTGACTTGTGCTGCTGTCGATGTTTAGTGAAAATGTTGACTATTTTTATTTTATTTTATTTAAGATTTTTAACATTTTTACTTTTCTCTGTTAGTCCTCAAATTGATCGCCACTCATTTGAAGGCTAAATGTGTGTCACAGTTTCTGCTATACTTGTTGAACTCTTACTGTTCGTACAGGTGAAGTGAAGGTCAGGCTGAGGCGAGTTTCCTCTCGTCTCAACTATTTATGCTAAGCTGATCAAATTTACATAACTCACACTCACACACACACTACAGACTTGACAAGACAGACAGCAAACACAGAAAATGTGTTCTTCTACACAGAGGATTTAACAAAACCATTGGGTCTTATTAAATTTTAATATTATTTTTATACATGTATTTTTTTAACTGTCATCAAATGCATGTTATTTTGTACTCACTTATCAAAGCTGTCACTATTCTTTATGAAATCATCCAGTTTCTCTCGGGCATATTCAACCACGTCCTTGTGGAGCTCGACTCCATGGTTTACACCAAATGGCCCTGAGAGGGGGAAAAAAACAACATTTTCAGTTTAACTTTTAAGTAAAAAAAAAACAAATAAAACATAGAAGACCTTCAGAGTTGGACAAAAAGTCAGATAAAAATGATATAACAATGTGGTACAAATGTGCCATGCTTCTGAAATCATGGAAATTGCCACTGCTGTTCACTGACCACTGGTTCTCGATGTGAGGTCGCACTCTGTAATTTTCCATGTGATGGCAGCACGTAGATAATACGGACCATTTTTCATGTACAATAAGGGGTGAAAAATTGGAAACTGGGAACACTGTGCTTACCTATGATAAGGCCAACCATTGTGCTCAGATAGCCAGTTCCACTGCCTAGATTGAGGAAGGAAAGTCCAGGCTGCAGTTTGAGAGCCTCCATCACCTCAGAGTATATGCAGGGAGCAGAGAGGTGGATGTTGCCATGCTTCCACGCCAAGTCTTTGTAGGCACTGTCCCTGTAGCCGTCCAGATAGTAGTCGCCACGGTCAATGGCCCGGAAAGCCTGTTCCACTTTCTCAGTGCGGATGTACTGGGCTTCTTTCAGATTATCAATGAGGTCATCGTTGTCCTCCCCAGCGCTCACGGCTCCCCCCATGGCGATATCAGCAGAGAGACACAGAGGGTGGATTTGTACGTCGTATAAAAGACCACTCTCTTTAAAACAGCATGGAGACGGTGGGCTGGATGAAGGATGGCACGGGTGTCACTGCTCCAGCCTCAGCTCAGACAACGTTCATTTCCATCCGGAACGTAATCTAGGAAAAAATATACAATGTAGGTGTTACTGCAAAATACCTCAAAAGTAGTATTGCTTCACAACTGGGAATATTATATTGCTAAAAATAAACAAAGAGAGGTAAAGAAAATAATAATGAAATATTTTACTACTGTAAAATATATCATGTCTACTTAAATTCTTTCCTGGTACATTCTTGCCATTTTATTTTTATTATTTATTTCTTGTCGTTTTTAATGAAACAATGCAGTCATATTTGTCATATTTTTATTTATATAGATTTTTTTTTAAACACAGGGAAAAACTATTTAAAACTGAGGATAAGGGAAGCCTAGTTCAGGCCCCCAAACCTTAGGTTTTTATGCAACTGTGAGGATTCAGCTCATTATGTTTACCTGCTGCTGTATTTAAAAAAATATATAAAAATGCACCTATATTGTGGCCTTCTTCTGTGACCAATGCAGCAGTAAGACACTAAAAACTATTTACTGCCACCTACAGATAAGAAACAAAATAGCCCCCATGAAATACTTCTGAACTAACTAACCTTTAGGTTCACCTGCATGACTACATGCAAACATGAAAACTACTTACCAAAACACAAAATCTGACAACATCAGTTTATGGCTACAGGCGTTTACTTTGTCTCATCTGATGAATTAATAAAACCTCCAGTGTGTGTGTCATCTTTCACACTGCTTAGAGCAGACATCAGAAAGGTTTTGAGCCATCGCTTTAACTTAACAGGAGTGGCAGGTTGGCAGTTACTGCAGGGCCTCAAAAGAACCCCTTACTCGTGGGTTTCTGCAGTGTCTGACACTTCTGCCAGCTCGGTTCTGAACTCTCTGAAACTCTTTAAACTGCTCGGAAATAGAGTATATCTCATTTCACTAATGACATGTGGAAGGCCTATTATCCACTACTGCTCTGTGAGCATCAACAATTTCCCTTTCCCACGTCTAGAAGTTATTTTTCTTTTCAATAAGATACATTCAAGAGTGGAAGCTTAAACACTTAACTCGGTTCTTAAAAGGTCAGAATAACTGAAAAAATCTAGTATTACATCATCAGCTGTTCTATGATTAAAGATTAAATATAATCATTGATCTAACCCAATGACACTCTTTGATGTGAACAAACATATTTTGTGACAAGGCATCGTGAACCTGTGAAAGCTGTTCTAACCACATCAGATTAAGGTCTGATCTCTCGTGTTACGGTAGAACCAGATCACAGCGTTACTTCCTGCTGTCAGCAGAGCCAACATCAACCACCAAGCCTTTGATCAAAAGCAAGTCTTTGATTTTCTTCAGAGAAAACCACATTTGTCGGTTTACCTTTTCTCCTGTGTTTAGCTGCATATTTGCACTAAGGGAAAATTCTTTTGTTTGTATTGATTACCTTAGCGTTTCTTTAGACTTTTTGTTACAAAGCAAAAAGGCAACCGAATCCAGAAAGGTCATCTGACTTAAATGTTTTTATGATAAAGCGACACAAATATAAATTCTTCTACTGATAGAATTTTATTTAGGGCAACAGGTAATTCTCTAATCTGAACTTTTGATCCACAAAACTGGATTTAACTCTTATTTTTAGTGCAAGTTGCCCAAATTCCAAACATCCTTAAAGTGTGCAAATCCCCAAATAATGATTTGTTGACCAGCATAGAACACATCTGCACTGACTGAATGTAAAGAACATTAAACTCCACCTCTTACCTTTGAAGACCTCAAGTTCAACAAAGTCAATTTTAATGCATTAATCATATGTTAAAACCATAATTAAAGAAGTTATTCTATGAATGTAATTTGAACTTGACAAAAGCGTATACAAGAAATTAAGATATAAATGTTACATTTTCACTGATCCTAATTTTCTCTCTCACCACCAGCAACATATCTTGTTTTTCATCAACAAGAGTGCAATTGAATTACAACAGAATTCCATTTTAATGAAAACAACATCAGTGCTCATAAAATTTAATTAATTATGCAAAGCAAACTCATTAGTAGGCCTGGATGATGCAGGAACAGCAGCACACTCGACCCCTCACTCAGTCCACTAACGATCACTGTTCAATAATTGCTGCCTTTCATCCAAGCCTGTCCTTCAATGTCCTTCCTCCCATTTCCGTTTTTCTTTTCTTTGCTGTAAATTTGTTCCTTGGATCAGCAATATTTTTAAACTCATTCCACCGCTGGCATCAGCATCCACCGTTCACACAGGCTTTTTTTAAACGCTGTCACTCTGGAGGACACACTGGAGAAAAACGTGCCTACCTGCTGGCATTAAATCTTTTTTTTTCTACTTTCAGGGAGGATATTTTTGAAACAAAACTTCCTTCCATAGCAAACTCAAGCTTTACCTCACTGTGCTAAAGCAAACAGATGACCTCAAGTATTGGAATTCTGGCAGCATGCAGGTTTGCTGGTGGTCTGTTAGTTTGCAGCTGATTGCGAACACTGGCATAGATGAGTCAAATGATGAAGTTGTTTTTTTGTTTTGCTCCCTAATATGCCATTGTCTCAATTTGTAATTCCTAAATGTGACTATACAAGTCAAACTATTTTAAATTTTGTGCAGATTTTTTTTGTTTGTTTGTTTTTACCAAATGTGTTTTTTGTGTTCTTTTAACATCAGTGATTCCAGCCAGTGACTAAGAATACAGTCTTTGATCCAACTGTGCGTAGTAACACAGCCTTAAAATTTTAAATATTTCCTCACATACTAAGTCTAAACCAGTCCAGTTCTGTAGAACACATACTGCATGGGCCAATATTGCCACATTGATGATGCTTCTGCCATTTAGTGCTTTAGTGCTCGTACTTAGTGCTATAATAGCACCTGCAGCCTGTCTGTTGTTATTGTAAATAGTAAATAAATGGCATTTTAATGCAGCTGAAATGATTATTCATGCTCTTATCGTCCACC